TATATATATATATATATATATATATATATATATATATATATATATATATATATATATATATATATATATATATATATATATATATATATATATATATATATATATATATATATATATAAATATATATATATAGTATACTTTTGAAAATACATAATCTTCTTATCTATGACCGGACAATTCAAAGGCGCCGTCGCACTAACCACAGTTACATACTAATACATACCTGGAAATGTAGTTAAGCGGCGTGCATAACCACCTTTAGCTGAAATACACCACAAATCATCTTCACAACAGAATAGAACTGTATCTCCGTGCACACAAGGGTAACGATAGTATCCAGGGCAGTTTTCCTACAGATTGAGAAAGTATAAGGTACATCAGATCCTTGAAAAAACTCGGTATTGACTGCTGGTCAAATGTTTGGGGCATTGTGTTATAGTAAAAAACTCCTGAAATATAACAGCCTCGCAAGCTATAGTTCGATAAATAGTGTACGGTAGGAACCATAGTATGCGTTTCAATAAGTTGCCGGTAGATACCACATCTGTCTGGACTTAAAAAGGGATCTGTAAACCTCAACCATCTCATACAGCCGAAGAAAAACCAGGGATACAATTAGCATATCACATAGCTCCGCGTGTCTATATCAGAAATCCACAGCAACTACACCAATTCCACTAGTCTTGTGAAGCTTCTGAAGGTAATGCACGATATGCAGTACATCGAAGCGCTTAGTTTTGAAACGCTTATAGAGTGCAGCATGTGATGAGGGGTAGTTCTTGGTGTAACATACCTCTGCGAAGGGATCGTTCATGTCTGGATACTGCATAATGGGCCTTCAATAGTCGAGATTGTCTTGCAATGAGGGATTAGGAGGTCTAGATCGCATCAGCTCGTCTTCCTATGATGCAGACTGTAGAGCTTCATACATTATATGACAGAGTCGTGGGCAATATGTGCGTATGTGTATTATGTGATTGTGTGTAGTATGTACTTACGTGCAGTATGTACTTACGTGTACTATGTTCTTATGTGATATATGTACATACATGCAGTCCGTACAATTCTAGAATAAATACATGCAAGTAAACAAACCACTTGAGCCGCGAACTCGTGTCTGGCCATCGATAAATTAGTGGAAAGTGGAACTCCTCGATCCCGCCAAAACTTCCAATTTTAGAAAACTCAAGAAAAGGGCTGCCTCGCACCTCGCGACAAAAAAAGGGACCGGTGGGCTCTAGAGAGAGAGTCACTACTCTCTCACAGAGAGAGTATTTATTTAAAAATTAAAAAAAAAGGTCAAGTGTGGGAACCAGAAGAAGGACATGGGTATTTTGATAAATTTTTAATTTTGTCCCAGGACCCAGGTCATAAAGAGGTTCTCTCTCTTGGGTTTACACTTTACTGCATACAATACGAGTGTGTATCTATATACGCGGGTGTGCCTAACTTCAAAGCAGCGTTGGATCTGATACAACGAGGTACAGTGCAATCTACGTGGATTTGCCTTCGTCTAAGCGTATAGATCTACTGCACAGCTGATGATTAAACACCAATTTTGATATTAAAGGTGGTGAAAATATGCATAAGCTTCTAAATTGAAACATTAGAAAGCTATGAGATATGATGACCAGCCTGCGTTGGAAGATCAGGTGGGGCTCCACTTGGGATCGTACAACACCCGCACATACGCAGTATAACATAACAGCCAAACTTACGAATTTTCTATAACTCTCTGAGGGGTACACTCTACCGCTCAGATCGGTTCGGTGTGGCTGTGATTACAACATATATCACATCTGTTCTATAGTTCCGCGTAACTACCCACTGCACTCGACATGCACTTATTTTCTGCCGGCATTTCATATGGTATTAAATATAGTATTTCATGTGGTATTAAACATAAAAGCCACTCCAGCGACCTTCTACGATAGCGTGTAGGCGAGGTTGAGAGTTCTCGCTATTCTTTCAGCACACGTGTGTCCCATTTTCCCTGCGATTAACATAGGCGAGACACACAGGCTCTTTCCGGGATAAATTAACCTTCCGGATGAGCGGCAAGGCGTGCTTTCTGTCGTTGTTACTATGGACACTGACAGATATGTCAACTCCACATTTCTATGCCATTTCCCAGGCGGTTTGCTTAGTATTCCGGCTGTTGTCGGTTCGTGATGTAGATACAGGTATATCATCCACCGCATTTCTGTACACAATACTTGGCTTATATGGCAGTACTACACATCCTCTAGCTGTGCAGTGGTCATACTTGCCGGCAAGTGTCACAGGTATGTTGTCACCGCATTCCTGTTCGCAATACTTGGCTTATATGGCAGTACTACACATCCTCTGGCTGTGCAGTGGTCATACTTGCTGGCAAGTGTGTTTTGATGTGCTTCTTCAACAGAGGAATATTCCTCAGCGGCTGGTCGCATACGTGGCACTTCATATCCCGTTTCAAAGCCGCCTGCACCTTTTCACTGTCGACCTGTTGAAAAAAAGGAAAAAAAGAAGAAAAAAAGAACGTAGTCTGTGAAATGGTGCACGCGCACAAAATTACAAGCACTCTGCGCAATCAATTCAGCTAGAACGACCGAAACACTTGTATCTGTTAGTAGGACCTTTAGCAAGCGGTTCTGCGTGGAGCTTTATTTCTAAATTCTTGTCTATCGTTTTAGGGTTTTAGGGTTTTAGGGTTTTAGGGGTTAGTTGGAAGTCGCCCATGGACATGTGTAGGATATACATACAGCAAAAAAACTTGAAAGCGAACACACCGCGAAAGACGACATCCGTAACGAGTTGGTAGCAATCACTTGATAGGCTGTGAGTGGTTCGAGAGTTCACGATATATGCACATATTCTTCAAATCATGTTCGGCTTAATTTGAAAGTCCACAACATATACTTCTAGTTACATACGACCGGTTTAAATACATTGAAGGTCCACTGTATATACCTCTATTTACATATGGCTGTTTTGCTTACCTTGCAGAATTAACGATGTTTGTTCATATTCCACACACATATACATCATGTCCTGCTTCATACCTTAACTTCGCCCTTGGCCTTTAGCATCGCCAACAGTTCATCTGTATCGATGAAGTATTCCGTTGTGAAGGAATTCCAGTGCTTTTTGTTCTTCAGTCGCTCGGAGTCAAAGTCTTGGCTTATCACGTGTATATGGAGTTGCCTGGGACGATATAATCAACGGGTTGCAGCCGGTATTAGACTTCAGTTTTACACTATGCAAAGTGGATAGTGAGAAGTTTTGGTAGTGTATAAGGTGAATGACTGAACCAATCAATGTAGTACATAACACATGCTATCACCTATGGATACATCAGTCAAATGAGGCTGGTCAATAGTCTTCTCGCACTTTGCTCACACAACTGTGGACTCCCACTCCAGCAGCATCGCGCATCACACATCCATGGCACATCAGTACACACCCTTACCAATCACCAACGAGCACTCAGACTTATCCCTGCTATCACCACATCAGATCCTATCCATATTCTTTATATCTTTATATGTAGTTCAATCTTAAGATGAGTGCCCATTGCATCACACACACATGGCACATCAGTACACACTCTTACCAATTACCAACGATCACTCAGACCTATCCTTGTTATCACCACACTAGAACCTATCCATATTCTTTATATCTTTATATGTAGTTCAATCTTAAGATGCGTGGCCATTGTATCACACACACATGGCACATCAGTACACACTCTTACCAATCACCAATGATCACTCAGACTTATCCATGCTATCACCACACCAACATATATACACATTCTTAATAGCATCCAATACGGTTTATTTGTGGTTCGTTCTCAGATATGTGTCCATTGCATCACACACACATGGCACATCAGTACATACTCTTACCAATCACTAACGACTACTCAGACCTATTCCTGTTATCACCATACCAGAATCTATCCATATTCTGATATCATGCAATATGTTTTATATGTAGTTCAATCTGGAGAAAATCTATCCATATTTTTATATCATCTAATATGGTTTATATGAAACTCAATCTTAAGATACGTGCCCATTGCATCACACACATATGACACATCATTACATACTTGTGCCAATCACCAACGATCACTCAGACCTGCCACTGCTTTCCCTGTACCAAAATCTATCCATATTTTTTACATCATCCAATATGGTTTATATGTAGATCCAATATGGTTTATATGTAGTTCAATCTCAAACGTGTGCTCATTAAATCCAAGGCCTCCTACCTAACACTGGGTATGGCGTGTATCCCCGCTCTGAATCCCACGTCTCTTAATTCAGGATGGTCTCTCTTCATCTTGGCTATCACCCTGTGCAGTCGACGAATCAGCGTAGTTATACAAACATATATATCCCATTCGACAGACCTTCCAAAACCTGGCATCACATCATACTCACACGAACGGTAGCACTCAGTATTGCCACCCACACTTTATAGAGAGAAAACTATGTGCTTGTAAGGTGTAGCAAGTTGGTATAGACCCCCACGAACATTAAAATGCGAGCTTGTATGCGAATGATATGCTAGGTACCATTTGCTGTTGTTGAGTGCTAGCCGCCCTGAAGAAACAGCCACAGGCGCGGAGAGTATCACAACTGGTGCAACAAAGCATGCAGCTGCTAACATCTCCCATGCAATCACCAGGCAGGCAACTAGAGCATAGAGCACCACAATACTCACGGGCAGACCGGACATAGACATAGACACAACACGTGGGAGATAAGCAGGCGCACCCAAGCACACGAGCATACACTACGTACCACAGGGATCGCTCATGGATGTGTTGGAGGAGAGGAAGATCTGCAGTTGTCAGACACTTGGGCTCATCTATGCTTCGTTTGGGTATCACTAACATGTGGCAGCGGGCCTGTACAGCGTATGCACACGACGTTAAGTCAAAATGAATTTTAAATTATAATGAATTTTGAATTACAATGAGTTTCGAGTCTTTGTGAATATGCCGAGGAGTGCAATTTAAACTGGCAGACAGATAGTTCTTTGCACACGCTACGAAGGAGATGAAGGTAGATGGGCTTGCAAATAGCCACAGCGTCTACGTTATATACCTGTAAATGTGCTCATATGGCATGTTGGGATGTGCGACAACACTACAACAAAGAGATGACCAGTACGTGCCACTATATGCTGATGGTGTACTACAGATGGTAGAGGCATTTGTTTGCGCTCTCGAGACCTTGTCCACAGTAATTAGGCGCAGATCACTGGGGAATGCCAATTCAATGAGAATTATGAAGATTTGGCTGAGAGGAGGCCTACATCTTGTTGATTGGTACTAACAGATATGAACCATCGAATTCAAACGAGCTTATAGGACACAGAAGGTGACGGTGACGAGGTAGGTATGTGTGTACTCTGACGCACACACATTGATTACCCAGGACGCCTGGGTGTATCAGCACTCGCGAGTGAGTCATCGGTCTACAAACCCAACAAACCCAATGACTCATACATTCGCTACATGTACTGCACGCAGTGAAGTCATGCCCGCCATCTCTGTAGCAATCAACCTTGTAGCACACACACACACCTTGTTATATGTATCCCGCACCACCACGCACGCTTTGTCCTCATGGTATAACTCATCTGTGTGATTCGCAGTGTCGTTGACGTAAGGTATCAAACCATCCAGATACGGCTTGATGAGATCTTGGGGTCTGGTAGTGCCGTCGAATAGTACGTCTTCAAATGCGTCTAACTCTCCCTATGCCCAAAGGTAACAAGAAAAGGTGCAAGATCAATGGCTATGCGATAGGGAAATGATACCCACGATTGTACGGTTAAGCAATACCATTCGAAAACGCATATTTAGATCGTCGCTGCTAAATGGTTAAGTATACAATCTTTAACTGTTGATATATGCGCAGGTGTATGATTGACTTATTTGCACCCACATACCACATGCACACGGCAACTCAAATGCAAACGCAAACGCAAACGCAAACACAAACGTATATGTATATATATATATACATACATACATACACACAAACATACACGCACACACACACACACACGCACACACACACACACACACATATATATATATATATATATATACATACATACATACATAATTAATTATAATCTATATATATATATATATATATATATTTTATATATTAATATGTAATACAATTGTGATGTGCTCTATTGTAGTTATCGATGTTCGTTATAAGTTGACAGATTAAAATGAATTCTTGAACAAAAGTATGTATACTGACATATTTAGTAAATAAAGTACAACTTTGATACACCCACAAGATCTGTATGCGTCTCTTAACCTAATCGTTATATATGTACACATACGTATGTACATATTGGGTTATATATACGCACATAAACGTGTACTTGTATACAGCTTTATGCACGCTTCTATGGAGATAGATAAATATACACGTTTGGCTAACATACCTCCGTTTGATCCTTCGGATTATCTAACTTAGCTCTCTTGGTCAGTGGTTGCTCTTTGATACTGTTATCTGTTTGTGAACAAGCAGTGATAGAAGTTACCGAGTGATGGAATGTATTGAATGTTATATAACGTGTATACAGTCATTGATGCAAGACACAAGCTTTCTCACGCACGCATAGACAAGTACGTAGTGAGTAACGGTATGCGAATTGGACTTGTATGTCGTGTTCGAGAGGAATAAAGGGAGTGCACGTCAAAATACACATGCACGTCAAAATACACACCACACAATCGACATCCAAATAGATTGCGTCTATATACAGTGTATAAGTAGTTGATGGATGATAAACTCTGCAGATAACAATACACTGGATGATATAGCTTTGCGTCTGCACAATCCATGTGATTGATAAAAATTGAAACTCCGAATCACAACACATACCTTCTGAAGAAGACATAGTTGAGAAGCCAAAGTTTCGGACGGCTATCGAAACCAGTGCTTTACGATAAGACGAACAGTAGCTGAACTGTCACTGGCTGTTGATGTATACTATTGATTGTCTCTGGAGGAAACAATACCTCGCGACGGCCTGCATTATAAGCGCACACCACTACTATGCTTAGCTATACTTCCCTGTGGTATATTGGGTGGGTGGGGGAGGATGTATCCGCCGGTGGTATCGTATCGGAGTGTATACAGCGTGTACTACATGAACATTGATCGTCTGTGTAGGTGGTCTTAGTCATATAGTTTTTAGTATATTTTACTTGTTGGTGTGGTCAGTTGGCCTGGATCAGTGACGCCGTCGGCCGTGATACGGTGAAGATTGTCGTCGATTTATTTATTATTGTGTTGTTTGCGGTTTCGTACAGCGGGTGGCCTCCTGCTAGGACCAACACCATATATAGTCACGCGAATGATTTGGCGGGAGGTTTGTGTGGCATTCACCAGTGATATCACTTTTTTCAAAAAATTATTAAATAAACATCCTTATCCATCATTGATCTTAGCCTATCAGATTGTTTTATTTAGTAAGCTATGTATGTATCCATCTCATCACAGTTTCCAACAGGTTTATATAAGTTCTGTTAAAAGACTACAAGTACGCCCTCCTTGTTGAGTTGCAAGAAGGCGACACGTCTTAACGATTTCCACAGCCGGGGGCAAGTATATCTCACAAGTATGCGAATAGAGTGATTGTTGAGCTTCGGATTGCTTGTGTGAGACTACCACGAAGACCGAGTGCTACATACGGTACGAGCCCATGCCTCCAATGGCGCAATCCTCACATGCCACACAGTACAGGCTGATAGTATATAACGACAAGACTCAAAAGACCTTATCACTACAAATGATACAAATGACGGCTATACCTGTCGGAAGTCAACAAACACTGCACTCACACTCCGTACCTACGTTACTCTAGGACACTACGTAACCAGAAAGCACGATGCAGCTAGTCAACAAACCTTAGGACGTCACGCTTGCATAAGTCTGTGACGACTCACACGAAAGTTTGAGGGTGATACAAGCAAGCGCTTGTGTGGGACAATCACAAGTATTAGTGCACCAGAGATTGCACCACCTCTTTTAAAAACTCTAAAACTCGATATACACACGCACATACGTGCATGGACAAGTATGATTGCATAACCTCTTTCATACAACTAAGGGAGGATATTGTGTCTACAACTTGTATGCCTCGACATACGCACGCACATACGTGTATGTACAAATATGATTGCACCACCTCTTTCATACAACTAAGGGAGGATATCGTGTCTACAACTTATATGCCTCGACATACGCACGCACATACGTGTATGTACAAATATGATTGCGCCACATCTTTCATAAAACTAAGGGAGGACATCGTGTCTAGAACGTATATGTCTCGACATACGCACGCACATACGTGTATGCACAAATATGATTTCATATAACTAAAGGAGGACATCGTGTCTAGAACGTATATGCCTCAACATACACACGCACATACGTGTATGGACAAATATGATTGCATCACCTCTTTCATATAACTAAGGGAGGACATCGTGTCTAGAACTTATATGCCTCGATATGCGCACAAATATGCGGTTTCATGAGAACCTATTCATTCTATATTTGCAGACGCCCAACAGTATCAAATGCGCATACGTAAACATGAACTTCAATTTACTTGCGTGATTGTATATGTTTGTAATGCTTTTCTCTTGCCCTGTATTGCAAGCTGCTAAATTGTACGGTGTATCTGTGGTGCCTCGTCTCAAACTCAAAATACGGCCTGTATACGCCCTCCTTATACACTCTAGCAAAGTCCATGCATCTCATAGCCGCTTCCTTCGGACCTTCCTACTTCGCATGCATGGAAGCGTACGCCAGTTCCTAACACAAACTCAGTTATGTATACCTCCACAAGCCACTACACACGACGCTACAACCATGCACGCCAGTCGCCGTATTCGCTATACACACTCTCGTCTGTCCTTGTAGACTCCCCTACGCACCTTAGCACTCCTGCTATTGTCCCGGGTGACACACACACACACACCGTCTATACACCTTCCACAAACCTGCACCGCTCACAGCCATGTAGAGAGCCGTTGTACACGGGCATTCTCTGCACGATACACCAACGCCAAATACACAGATATATGAACGCTGTTTCATTCAAACCTGTACCGACCTGGTATTGAGATACCGATACTTCAAACGTATACCAAAGCCGGTTTCGGGTAATCGCAGGCTAGTTCATATGTGGACCTCCAATCACACCGCTGCTTCTCAGTATAGGCCAACACCGTGCATATAAACGCACACGACCCCACACCACGTGCGCATTTGGACTACGCACTCGGGTGAAACGTATTCATTTGGACTACGCACTCGGGGTGAAAAACGTACTCATTTGGAATACGTATGCCTCGGTGGCCAGGCTACAACGGTGATCCCCAGGACGACTTAACGTGTAGAGTGCATGCGTAACGCACACCTCCGATACGCCTCGAGGGTATATAATGTAATATCTGCAGATATCCAACAGTGTCATCTACATACTCCGATGTGATTTACACAATCTGCAGTACATAATCTACAGACCATGTCTACCAACAGACACTTCCGCGGCAGGAGACTACTGTAGAAAGCTTTGCTGGATGGCATCACCAGCAGTTTGACATCTCAATGGGGAGTGGGGACGTGACCATCTGTTGTGAGGGTGTAGCGGGAGCCAGTACATTGTTCGTGTGGAGATATTTGTGCAAGAAAAAAGGAAAGAAAAAAGGAAGAGAGAGTGAGGGGGGGGGGGAAGGGAAGGGAAAGGGCTAGGGTTTCTCATTTTATCCAGAATTATGGGCATGCGATCCCTTTCATAAACGAAACTCTCCCATCAATTACTACCCCGTTCCAGATATCATGCATATGAATTGCCAGTGATATGGGTATGTATGTGTACACTCCATTCCAGATATCATGCATATGAATTGCTAGTGATATGGGTGTGTATGTGTACAATCCATTCTAGATATCATGCATATGAATTGCTAGTGATATGGGTATGTATGTGTACAATCCATTCCAAATATCATGCATATGAATTGCTAGTGATATGGGTGTGTATGTGTACAATCTCGTATGGACCCGTACACTTCAGCAATTTCCGCAAGGAAGCGACCCGCTCAAAGGTTTGCAGCATCCGAACCGGAAGGTTCAACCGGCTAGGGCATTAACATGTAACGGGATCAACCCCATGCACAAACTACAATAAGGCCCATAAATGATAGAATAAGACAAATTAGAAGCAAATATAAGACCACCCCCACCACACAGCGTCGCAGATGACTGCACCCAACTCGCATATAGTATACACGCCTTCCCTGTGTGTAGTATCTAGGCTCAGGAGCACATAGAGATATACACACGCAGCCATTTCCCAAATATACATAGACACTTTCGAGCAGCTAAATGCTACGCTGTATACACATGCACACACATATCTATGTAGCTCGATATCATAAGCATTCCGTTGCCTTAGCCAGCTCCACCTGACCACCCTCCAACTTCATGATTTACATAAATTGACATCCATATCGTCGATAGTCAATGAACCACACAGGCATGCCCAGTACATGTTTCTCATATACACACATTATCGGCACACATATACCCATATACACACCTCTATTTATAGCCTCCAAACACATATATTCACTTAGCACCTCCAAACACCCCCATTTACTTATAACCTCCAAACACCCACACATACCCACATAGAAGTTCCGTGTAGCCTTGGGCAACTCCACCTTGAGCCCCTCCAGCTCCTTGGTCAGCCTAATCTGGCAGCCTAACCGCGAGTTTTCCTTCAGCTGCACCGCCATATCCAACATGTCCTCTTCCTCCTCCTCTGCTTCCGGCAGTGTGTCCAGATAGTCTTCATCCACGTACACGTGACAGGTCGAGCAGGCCAGCGACGCCTCACACGCGCCTGTGCCCAGGAGAGCAGGCACGTTGATGTGTGAGCATTGAACATACATTAACTACGCGATAAGTCAGCGACACTTTACAGACACCTGCGCCCGAGATAGCATTATAAAATGTGCACATATGTATATTGGAAGCTCCGGCGGCCATGAGATATATGTTTACTATAATATATACAGCACTAGGTGTAAAACAAACTCAAATCAATAAAATGGACCACTGTATATGAGAATGCACATAACACACACACACACACAACCACCAGATGCATCGCATACATGCTATACAAACTCGTACAGTACCTTCCATAGGCACATCGTATCTGTGGCACAAGTATAGCAGATTATCTCCCACTTTGCCCCTTATCACCTTTTCGGTGCCATCTCGGAGAATCACCGAGACGTTCACACTGCGTGATAGTCAGTATACAATAAGAATAGGTCGGATACATATGCTGTTTTCATACATACTTTGAAAGGACATTTTTTCATACATACTTTGAAACGACATAAATCAAGTGTGTGTGTGAAAGTACAAGTCTGTTTGTATATGAAATGTAGTCCAATGGCAGCGTTGGAACACACAGACGATGCGGAAGTGGGTGAGTTTAAACTGCTCATTATGACCGAACGTCTGAGAGATTGGAAAGAGAAAAGAGAGGATATTGCATACTTTACACAAACCTTATTCACCTACTCCAGTACACAAACGGTGATATCAACTAATTCACTACCGGACAAACAAAATAAAATAAAATTCATAACCTTGCTTAACCTTGGAGACCACAGGATATGCGACAGTACAGAGATTGGTACAACTTGATGATCAGTAAATGAACATGCGTGTTCGTAAGTAGAATCTCAGAAGTCCATACCATATGCAAGCTATACTAAACAATTAACATATATCCATCAATCATACGGATAGAGCACATGCATACAAGCAGGAAAATGCATACACATCCGCTACAACAAGACATACACTTCATCCTCGGATTTGGGGTCCTCCCACTCGAAATCCCCGTGACGCAGACCCCCTAACGAACAAAATGTGAGATACAAATATGGTCAGTATGTCATAGTGTACACAGCGAGACATTGAGCAGAAATGAATCAACAACTTCATGAGGCAGGTTTCATACATGTGCGTTCAAATAGGCGTGCGAAAGTGTATACCTATATACACAAGCATATATATATTTGAATACACATTTATATATATATATATATATACAAACCGAAACAGAAAATAACAAAAAAACATACATTCGTATATATATATTTATATATATAATATATATGTAAATGCATATATATATATATATATATATATATGTATGTATATATATGCAAATCTACAAATATATATACGTACATACACAGAAACACACAGACACGTACTGACACTTATACACAGACAAACCCATATATATATATACAAACATATATATATATAGAAGTAAAAACAGCAATAGATAGATATATCCATATATTTATATATACATCTATATAGATATATACATATATATATTTATCTAAATATACATATAAACATAGATATATATACATAATATATACTTAATATATATATATACATATATACATATATACACATATATATGAATATATGGATATATAGATAGATCGACATACAGACCATAAAATATATATGAATGTCTCTTTAACCAACGATCTATTGATGTACATATATATAGATATATAGATATATAGGTATATGGACAGACAAACAGATAGATAGATAGACACACACACATCTATACTTGTACATGTTTACACACACACACACACACACACATATATATATATATATTTAATATATATGCATATATACTTAATATACTTAATATATATATTTGTATGATATTGATTCTTATATTTCACTGCAGATCGCTGTCAGGCAGCGTAAAAAAATCATATTGCAGACACAAGCCGGCAGACGAATATAGTGGAGCGCATTAATACCACATACATGGGAGTGAAGTATTGGCCTTCATTTTATACAATCTAGGTGAATGTAGCTAGACCTGTCAGTATTTCAATTTGGCATTTCGCCAGTGCTGAAGAAAACTGCATACCTATACGTGTATGAAAAGCAGATCGAAAGACTACACCCTGTGTGGCAGCTCGGAGTCCGCTCCCGTTTACAGATCGAGTAAGATCGCCAAAGAAGCATCTGCGAGCCATCTGACTCTGACGGGAGGCCCGAGCAACGCTTCCCGTACATATACTTGCTAGTGTACCTAAGAACATTATAAGAATGTTAAGTGGCTGAGATATATATCGCTCGTCTCCGCCGTGCTTTCACTATTCACTATCTTTTGTTGATCAACTGTGCATAGCTTTTCAGTTTGTCTTATGTTTTAACATGTGTAGTAGATGAATTTACATGGTTCAGTTCCAAGGTAAATTTAAGCTGCATGGATAGCCTTCTAAATTGTACCTGGCGGCGTGGCCAAAAGGGGCGAATGCAAGGCCACGAATGAGCTTAAAAATGATGACTCAGCTTTATGACCCTCTACTCTCTACTATGATTGTGTAGAGTAGTATTTACATAGCGTAGTAGTAGAGAAAAAATAAAAATAATAAAGGCTGACGGACAAAAGACATAAATAAGTCCGCAGTCCGCTGGACACAGCGTTTTACTATTTTAGCACATACGTTTTTCAGAACAGTTCGAATGCGGAAATAGGGTATTCACTATTTTATCGTATGACAGATTAATAAAAGATAGAAGTATACAGTATATACACTATTTTACAGGCCGACGGATTAGCAACAGGTGGAGGTTATACACTAGTATATTACGTGATAGATTAACAGATAATTCTGGGGTTTGAAGTTTTGAACAAAATTTATGTATGCATATACGTACATAGCTTATATACCCACAGTCCCACATTATAGCATGGTAGTCGAGTAAGCGAGCGTGTTGATAAAGTGTTTAGTTGCGTGCTTGAAGCCATAGTAGAATATAACAGCTACAGCGTACACATGACCAGGTACTAGGATGACCTACAGCCTTTGAGTGAGAAATGCATTGAACTAAGATATTTTAAACTAACGAGCATGCACACCTACAAACACGAGTCCGATATATATTACGCACGCGTATCACACACACAAAAATACAAGTTCACATACACACACAAAAATACAAGTTCACATACACACACACACACACACACACACACATAAATATATATACATATATTATATTATACATTATATATATATATATATATATATATATATATATATATATATATATATATATATATATATAAACAGATATATATATATATATATATATATATATATAAAAGCGTGTATGTATGTATATATATATATAGTATAATAATATAATAATAATATAATAATATAATAATATATATATGTATATAACTTGCATTATATATATGTGGGA